CGGGGCTTGCACTCGGCCTCCCCAGGGCGCGGAGTTTCCGCGGGTGTTTTGTCTGCGAGGGCAGTGGGCCGCTTCAGACCTGGGGCGTTTCCCTTGTTGGACTAAAAGACACCCTAGGAGACAGGGAGTTTACAGACAATAGTATTTGTCGTTCTCTTATTCCAAGAAAAACAGGGAAACCAGTTGTTTTGAAGCGCTTGTTAGGGTGAGATAGTGATGGGAGAGAGAATGAGTTATCCAGAATGGGTAAAAATAGGATTTTTTGTTATTGGTTTTTGTACCTGGAGGGAAGTCTCTGTTGGTGTTGACAGGATACTGGAACTCAATATTCACAGAAAGCAAATGTGAGGAAAATGAATGGGTTAGAGTTTTTTCGTAGCTCTTGAAGGGATTCTTATTCAATAACGTTTGCTTTGAAGGTTTTCTGAGCAGCATGAGTTCAAAAAGCCAAATGATGACCGCGCTCTTCACCTGATGACCAAGTGTGCCCAGACCGTGATGCAAGAACTGGAGGACATTGCTATTGCTTATGGACAGAGTGATGAATATAGTTTTGTTTTCAAAAAGAAGAGTAGATGGTTTAAAAGAAGAGCAAGGTAACAGCTGCTTTGATACTGAAGTGAGCTTGTTTTTAACATATCTCTCTAAACCTGTAATTCTTCTTTAGATTTGCCTTTATCTACACACAGAGGTTAGGAGTGGGGCTGTGTTTGGGGCACACTCTGCAGTTAGCTCGGGTTCTTCATGTGAATTCTTTGTGTGTGATCTTTCAGGAAAGTATGCTCAGTGATACAGAGTTCTAAAAAAAAGTTTTGATAAAATAAACATTGTTAGAGCAAACTTTCTTTTAACAAAATGTTTCCTTTTCCAAACTCTTTACTTGATTCTCAGTACTTCCTGTTCTTCAGAAGAATCTGTGCTGTTGCTGATCTGTTGGGCTCTCATTTAAGAAATGCTGCTATCCACCAGAATTGTCGCTACCGATACCTCAGATAATCACAGATCTATAATCATATTGATGCATTTCTTTCTCTTTCTTTTTGCTTTGTGTTTGCAAGTAAGTTCATGACTCATGTGGTCTCCCAGTTTGCCTCAAGTTACGTTTTCTACTGGAAGGATTACTTTAAGGACCAGCGACTTCTGTACCCACCAGGATTTGATGGACGAATTGTGTTGTATCCCAGCAACCAAAATTTAAAGGACTACCTCAGCTGGAGACAAGCAGATTGTAAGCATTTCTAGAACATGGAGATTTGTGCAGTTGAGTTCTCTTCCTCTGTGAATAGAAATGCCCTTATCACCACTGTATTTGTGTATACAGGTATCAGAGAACAGCAGGTAGGGTGGTAGTTTTAAATAAACAGTACTAGAATTGTTTCGGGCTTTGTATGGGTGCAGAAATACCAGCTGAAATTCTGAGTCTTCAGGCTAGAACTGTATTTGTTGCATCCTGGAACTGACTTCAACACAGGAAATACTAGACTTTATTAATTTTTTTATTTTTTTTTTAATATTCCAGAAATCTTCTTTAATGAAGAGATGTGAATGTTCAAATTCACACCATATAGCAAAATTGTAGCAGTCAAAAGTGCTGTGTATGCTATGCTAGAACAGACCATTAGATTCAATTTCTGGGCTTTCATTAGTAGCTAGTCCCTGTTGCTCAAATGAAGATAACTTACGTTACACATAAACACCCTTCACCCTCTGCTCTCCCTTTTCAGAATTATAAGGAAATCTATCTTCTAGTCATTCTTGCATTATGAAATACCTTAAAAATGGATCAGGAAGATTGTATCTTCTCTAGCAACTGATATTATGAATTTCCTGTTATTCTTGGCTGTTTCTTGAATATGACTGGAAATAATGTCGTCTTCTGAGTTGTCACTCAGACTTGCTAAATGCTCTCTCTCTTTTCTCTTTTTCTGTAGGCCATATTAATAACCTTTATAATACAGTGTTTTGGATGCTTGTACAGCGAAGTGGTTTGACACCAGTGCAGGCACAGGATAGACTCCAGGTAAGGCTCTCTTGAGGTCATGGTTTTTTCTAGCTACAAAGAAAATGGTGAGACTTGCCAAGCTGTGTCTTGCTGACCCAGCAGCTGTGACTGGCCTGTCTGTTGTTACTATAATAATTTTGCAGATGTAGATTTAACAACTTCTTAAATTGTACAGACGTTAACATGATTAGCAAAAATTGTATTTGTGATCAAATATTAGCAAGATATTGATTTCTTAATTGGGAAGTTCAGAAATCTTAAAAATGTCATAGAAACATCCAGTATCCATAGGCATGAGGTGCAATGGCAGGATCCACCTACTACTGATTCCCAGTATTTTGTCTCTAGTATTTTGTTTCATTTTGCAGACTTCAGATTTTTTTCTGTTTCCTCCTAGAGTCTGTTGACTTTCTTCTGTTTGTATTGAAAACATAATTAAAAAATCTGTATGTTTTAATATCCTCATTTGGCAGTTGGGAACAATTCCTCTGTTGGGAGAGATAATTAAACCTTGTAATTTAAAGGTGAAAAACCTATTTAAATGTCAGTCTCGCTTCCAATACTCACCCATCTTCTACCCTAGAGATTCAGTTTGTTTGCTGTAAGAGTACTTTTTCTTTTCATCTCCTCTCAGGGAACTTTGGCTGGAGATAAGAATGAAATCTTATTTTCTGAATTCAACATCAACTACAACAATGAACCTTTGATGTATAGAAAAGGAACTGTCTTAATATGGCAGAAGGTAAAAAAACTGTATTACGACTTGCTTCATGCTCATGTTTTAAATAGGTACGCTATGGCAGACAGTCTACACTGTAAGATCACCAGATGTATCCCAAATGTATGTCTGTATAAATATATTTTAACACTAACTGTGTTTGCCATATAATGATGTGTAAGATGACAAATTGTTTGGAGATGTTTTTGAGATCTCTGTATCTATGCTCATAGATACAAAAACTAGTCTCTGAAGTCTGGCTTAGATAAAAATTATGACCATTGAGATAAAACATGTATTAACAGATGACAATCTATACGTAGGATTTCACAAGACTGATGTATTTGCCAGATAAATGTGCCTTGTTTAATGAATCATACAGTTGGTTTCTTAGTGTTGCCAGCTTTGAAAATTGAGGAAGTATTCTCCTTCCTGAGAAATTACATTTTAATGACCCTTGTCAGTTTGATATGGTAATCATTGGCGCCTGTGCCAGGCCCTTCACTACATTAGGTCCCAAGTGTTTCCACTGCAAAGGAATTAAACTTTCGTTCAGTGAGGTAGCTCAGCTCATAGTATGCTTAGTGCTTTTCTACTTCTGTAAAGGAGCATAGTAAGGAGTGCAGCTGTTAATGGGGAATTCCTTTTAACGGTAACTTGGAAATGTTCATCATTCGAGGATTACATCATTGATACAGAATTAGCACAAGAAGCTCCTGTCTTATGTTTTATGATTTTCTGGGGACTCATCTCGTACAAAAGTTTATGGCTTTACTGTCCTTCTGTACTAGGAGATCTTAACTAGAAATACCTGTGTTTTGTGTGATCACGACCCCATCTGTCTGTGTTGAGAGTTCTCCATAACTTGCTCAGCCTTTTGTCTTCTCCCTGTAAAAAAAATATAATCCTTTCTTTTCTTTTTATTTAAATTTTGGCCAACAATTTATATTACTTCATTTGCACTAATTAGAACAGATAGAGGCTCCCACCTGGAAATATATTCCACTTGTTCCTTATGTATTTTTTTTTTCTTGGTAGGTGTAGACATTGGCAAGGTTTCGCATTTGCTTTATATAACTCCAAGTTAAACACTGTGCTTTATTCAAGAATACTTGCAATCAGTTATGTGAATTTGCAGGTCATTTCTTGAAGCCATGTGATGATGACATCAGTTTCAAGTACTCGCGCATCAGTCTTTCGACTGAGAATAGATTTGCTTTCAAAAGATTCAGTGTTCAAACTCTGTAGTATGCTATAGGGTTGATAGTTGCTTTTATTGTAGCTTCGTTTCTTGTGCATGTGTGAATCCCCTCTGGACTCTTACATGTCTGTTAATGTGTCAACTGTATTTTCAGGTTAATGAAGTCATGACTAAGAAGATAAAACTACCAAAGGAAGCAGAAGAAAAGGAAGTTGCAGTGACCCGGACTAGGACTAAAGTTGTTCCCCTGCACTGTGATATTATTGGGGACCAGTTCTGGGAGGAATATCCTGAAATTCTGGCTGAGGATAGTTGATCTCCGATGAGTATAACTGGTAGTTTACCTTTCGCTCTGCTTGGGTTGCTGGCAAGTGAGGCGTATGAATGGTGGCTGGCAGAGTTTAACCTGTAACCCTCTTCAGCAACTACATTGGTTTTAGCACTGTTGTTGCCTGAAAAAAAGACACTGCTATGTTGTCTGATACACAAAGATATGCCTGTGTGAAAAACTTAAAATGATATTATATTTTGAATGTTAAGAACTCATTTTAAATTAACTGTTCCTTGCTTGTACATGCGTATCTGTAGAGAAAGTGTACAGAAATTTCATGCATTTCTATAGCATTTAAACCATGAGGTATTTTACTGAACTGTCAAACTATAAAAAAGCTTGCATATCTGAATAGTTAAAAACAGAGGAGAAAATAATTATTTTGATTTTTGTTTCAGCTGAGAGGGACCAGAATACTTCAACTGGCATTTCAAGGCCAGTGTGTTTAGTCAGATTAGTGACAAACTGTTCAACTGCCTAATGTCTCCGATTCTTATAGAAAGGAAATGGAGTACCCCAGCAGTTCCTATGACTGATTTTAAAAGCTTTTGTCAAATGTACAGGATTTTTATACTTTTTAAAAAGTGAAAAAAAAAAAAGACATTTCTTCCCTGCTGTGTTTATTACTTGGCCTTTCTTATTCCTGGAACTTTCACTAGTAATTGGTGAAGGTTCTAAACAGTTAAGTTAATAATAAAGATACTGTAGAAAATCAAATTCTGTTAGGACATGGGTAGACGTGCTGTCATCTTCTGTGGCCTGAGAAGTCATCTTACCTCCTGCTGTGCAGTAGCAACATGGGGGAGCGTTCCTGGTGCCAGCAAAGAGGGCGTTAACAAGAACTTGCGTTGCTGTTCTCTGGTTTTCCTGGGGAGGATACACACATAGCAGTCCTGGCAGTATACATTAGAGGGAAGGGGGAAGTGTGTATTGCCTGGTCTATGCACAGTTTTGTTCTGGTTTAACTATCAGTTAGACCCTTTGTCAAAACAGTTAAATGATACAGCCTCTCAGAGCAGAAATGTTACTGCTAATGTGAAGGGGCTTGTCCCAGTGCAACTGGAATTTGAGGGAAATAACCTATTTCAGTATAGAAATAGAACTATTATGATATAATTGGTATTGATAAAGATACCATTACTGCTTTTAACCATACTGGTTTCAAAAACAGTACTAGAACAGTAATCTGTCTGGCAAGCTGTTGCTAAGGGATAGATAATCAGCAGTTGGGACTGGCCATAAAAATGGAAAGAGGATCAAATCTGACTGAAGAAGGTCAGTACTGAGTACGTTTAAGGCAATGTGCTTCTTTTTTAACCCACTAAATGGGTACTGATGTAAAATACTACTCCATGGTTTCTTCCCGAGAATAAACAATGAGTCTATGCGTTTATAATAGCACAGGACTTCCACTCTACTACTGTGTGCTGATACTGAGCAGTTAAGTACATGCAATGAGAGAATGCGTATCATTTTTAGTTTGTAGAATGGGCTGTGTAATTCCCAGGAAGAGGATGTGAGGGATTGTGAGACAGTGATTCTGAATGAATCACTGCACCAGTCATTCACCGCTAAGAACTTCCTATCTGTCTGTCTGGGGTTTTTGTCTTGTAACACAAATGTAATTTACTTGACTTTGTTATGCCGTATGTTACTATCTGGTGCCTGGCTTCAGACATTACATATAAAGCGACTGTTCCAGAGGTGGTAACGTTTGGATTTTGCAGTCTGAATAAAGATTAAAAAAATTTTGGCAACTGTGATTCACGTTTGGAAAGTAGTATGTAGGGCTTTTATCGTATCTATCTTATGACTACCTGATACATAAATAGATACATTGTTGAATGTGTGTATGAAAAATGGGTCTGTATTAGGCCTTACCCTCAGAGCGTTTTCTAATTAACTCATCTTTACAATCATGTGTAATAAGTAAACATACCTGTTTACATATGGATGCAGACTTTGGAACCAAGATGTGGATTGTCTGTGCAGCCATGGGCTTTACTCTGAATTAATACAAATCCTAGAGAAAGCAACTCCCTGTGGTATCCTGATGCAGAAGTTATGTGTGTGACTTTGTGCCTGCAAGGGGAAATGTGTCTTCCCGAGGTTCCAGCTGTGTGCTGGTGTTAGGGGTTCGCAGCTCGGCCTGGGGCCTGTGCCTGTGCTTGTAGGAGTTTCTGCAGGTGTTTCTGCAGCAGTCCCCTGCTGTGACCCGGCGGAGCAATAGGTGTTTCCTTTGGCCGATGTTGCCTGAACAGGAAGCATTGCATGTACTGGAGCCAGTTGTGACAGGTCAGTGGGAGGTGCTGGGACCCGCTGCAGCCCAGCCACTCTGCAGCATTAACACGCCTTGCCTCGCTTTTCTTCAGAGAAATGTTTCTGTGCTGTATGCCCTTTTACAGATCAAAATGCGGATTATATTGCACCCCCCCTTTTGCCCAGCCGGCTCTGCCCTGCCTGGGGCCCGGGGGCCCTGCTCGGGGGAGCACCCTCCAACGGCCGGGGAGATCCGGGGCGGGCTGCAGAGGGAGGCCCCAGCGCTGGGATTGCACCGGGAGCTGACCAGGACGCAACGAGAAGGGAAACCGGAGCAACCCCCC